GGGTTCTAGTCGAAGAAGGCGCAGAGAATTTGGAAGAAGTGACGGATACGTAATCCAATAAAAATGAGAACCAATAGAAAGCTTGTAATGGATCAACCCGCGATTGGTTTCGCTTCCTTGGAGGTGGACCTTGGGCGCCACGGTTGCTATGACGGCAGAATGCCCACCTTCCCGGCGCCGCCATCTTGTTGTTGATTCGAACTGTAGGGAGCAGGTGAGGGAAGTCTTGAAGCCGGCCTGGGGGGACCCAGCAGCAGCACCCCCCCGGCCAGGCAGGGGGAAATTCACGTTGGTGAGTGTCGGGCCCTTGTCCTCGGCAGGAAGCGATCTGGGTCGAAAGGGAGGGAGCCTCTCCCGAATTGGATGTGGGAGGGGATCGGGGAGTGAATGAGCGCTCGCAGGGAGAAGGTAAGGCCGGTTCGGGGGGATCCGGCGGGTGGAACAGCAAAGCCACTCTGGCCGAGGGGCTGCTGTGGAAGCTGGTGAGAGGCAATAGGGATCCTCGCGACGATCCTGCCGAAGCTGCTCGAGAGGAGTCTATGGTACAGGTGTCTGTTGAGCCGTTTCCCCCGCTTGGCGCCCTCTAGACGAGTTTACTGAACTTCACGTGAGATCCCATCATCCCCGACCCCATCATCCCCGACCATGGTCGACCATAATCCAAGCAGGGAGGGCGCCAGGTGGGGAAAGCTGTGGGTAGAAGCGAAAGAAGTTGTGGTTTTCTGCTCAGCCGGTTTCTGAGCGCTCTGCCTGCCCCTTTCCTTGATGACAACTGGCTGTGAGAGTCCACCGGGTCATTTGGGAGGGGGGCTTGTAAGGAATGACACCCTGCAGATGTTGGTGACATCTGCAGTGATAGGTGGTTGGGGGGGGGAAGAGTTCTGAGGCTAGAGAAACTTTTGCTCAGAGGGTACTTGGGATGTGCTGTGTATGCCATACACTTTATCCCATCCACCAGCAGTAACAATATAAGATTTAAGGTTGCTTAAATTTATTGAGAAATTGTGTTGGTTTTTGGCAACATCCTAACAAAGCATGTTGGCCCCAATTCAAAACATTGTGGGAATAGCAAAAAGGCTTTCCTCCATGGGCAATAAATATTTTATAGTTGAATTTTAGACTGACCGTTGTTTATAGTGTAACAGCTCTCTATGACTGCGATGCACTGAACAAAGAGTAACTTTTGGGATTGCCTTTTGATATTGCAAACTTTTTTTCCCCCATTGATATGTTCATCATTTTAACATTATACAAATGCTTGTCCTCTACCAACTTGAAATAAGTTTCAAATGTTTGGAAAGTGTAGATAATTCTTCATTAAAATAGTTTTGCATAATTTTCACTTTATTTATCAAATTCATTTGCTGCCCATCTCACAGTTCAGAGCAACTCTAAGTGGCTTACAACAAAATAAAATACAGACATGCAGCAGTTATAAAAATAACAGCTGATTAAAATTACAAAAATTAAACTAAAAAACAAGAAGTTGGAGGTGAGAGGGGAGTATGCCTTGTCTATTAGTGCACAACCAACTCCGGCCAACAGCTTCTCCTTTAGGTCCTTATGTCAGCTGGCATAGCCAGGTTTTTCCTGATGGCTGAAAGAAGTGTGTGTGTGGATCTTACCTCCTGTGGCAAGATGTTCCAAAGAGCAGGAACTGTGGCAGAAAAGGATTTTCTCCTGTATCCCACCAGCTGAAGTTCTTTGGTTGATGGGATCTACAGTAAGCCCCCTTCTGCCAGCACAAGTGGGACAGGCTAATCCTGTTGGGGAAATACAGTTCTGCAGATATTCTGGACCCATGGCATGAAGGGCTTTAAGGTAGTAACCAGTACATTGAATTGCATCCAGAAGCAGATTGGCAGCTAGTGCACTTGCATAACAGTGGTGTTATATGTGCCATCCTAGGTACCTCCAAAACTGTCCATGCTGTTGTGTTCTGGACCAATTGAGCCTTCCAAATAT